CGTTTTTCCTGTATTTGCCTAAGAAGCAAAGGTTTTATATATATATACTAGAGGCCTGGTGCACAAAAATTTGTGCACTTGGGGGGGTCCCTCAGCCCAGCCTGTGCCCTCTCACAGTCTGGGACCCCTCAGGGGATGACCACCTGCTGGCATTTTATAACCTTCCCAGGGTTTAAATTTTTAAATTTGCTTCCTCTCCTTATGAATAAAAATTTTATACTTAAGGTATATGGGAAGCTCTGTCAAATAAAGAAATAATAATTATATTTTATTTATATATGCATATTATATAGGTTCTAATATGCTTTCATTTATAAATAACTAGTGGCCTGATGCACGAAAATTTGTGCACTGGGAGGGAGAGTGTCCCTCAGCCCGGCCTGCCCCCTCTCAGTCTGGGAGCCTTCACTGGATGTCCTACTGACGGCTTAGGCCCACTTTCCGCAGTCTGGCCTCCCTCTGTGGGAGGCAACCGGTTGTTCAGGTATATAGATACTTTCTGAAGGCAGCACGAACTCCTACCTTATTTCTTTTCTCTGTGGTTTTAGAATAAGGGACTAAAAGGTGGAGACAGAACTGTGCCCGGGCTTGGGGCTTTTGTAGGCAGTGTAAAGAGAGAGAGAGGGCTGGGGAAAGTCTAGACACAGTTTCCTTCAATTGTCCTCCCTTCCTCTGGGCCCCTCCCTCTGTTTTTTCCTTGTCGTGGTGGACACTCGGGCCTTGGACCAACAGGAGCCCAGCAACGGTGGGGGTCAGCCCCCTCACTTCTCAGCTGAACATATAGCCGCCTCACATTTCAAGCAGAGCTGTTTTCAAGTGGCTAAAGCGCTGGGAATTCATGCCTCCCGGCATTTCCCCTCTTGGTTTCCTCCTTGGGTCTGTTGCAAACTCCACCAAGACACCGAAGCAGCTCTGCCTGGTAATTCTGCACTGGCCCCCACCCAGGCCCCGCCGGGCAGTCTTCCTCGAGGTCTCCGGGTCCACAGTCTGCACTCGGGGAGATCTCCCAGAGCAAATTCCCCCAGGCAGGTGAGGCAGGGGGGCGAGCTTGGAGAGCTGGAGGAAGATGGCAGAATAAGAGTTGGTATGAACCAGTGCCTGCTCAGCCAGACTTCCTAAGCTCACCACCGGGCCCAGGCAGGCCCCTTCCCCACGCCAGGAGGATCCCGGCTGAGGTCCCCTCCCTACACTCAGCGCCCTCCTCCCTGTTCCACCATGGGGGGGGCAGTAGCAGCTTGCCCGCTCTGGACCCTGCCAGCCCAACAGTCAGTGGTGCATGGCCCCGAGCCTCCTCCCCTCCCTGAAGTGTGGGGTGGGGTCGCAGTAGCTCGTGGCCGCCCTAGGCATCATGCATGGAGACACCGCTTGCCACTGAACCACAGTCCAGCCTGGGACCTGTGGGGGCTGGGGTGGCCTCGGGTTCCCGCTGGCCACACCGAAGCCAGACTTGGCTTGGCTGGCTGCCCCTGCCATCCGAGGGCTGTGCGTGCCCCGTGGGCCTCGCCTTCATGAATCGCCGTGGCCCGGCTGTCCTGTCCCAGGAAGTGGCCGTCCTAATCACCATGGCTCACTCCCTGGTGCATTCAGGCCTGCCCGGCAGGCACGTAAGCAGAAGCTGGGCTGCCGAGGGGAGGGAGGAGGGATGTGTGGGCTAGGGCAGAAGCGGGGAACCTGGCGGTATAAACACAGCCCCCCACGCTGCACCAATCTGTTGCGCCACATTCCCAGACCCCTGGGCACCCCTGCCCGGCACCGTGCTCTTGAGCCTGGGGTGGGGGCAAGGGACCTAGGGCTTTGGCCTGGAGGCAGCCCTTGCTGGCTTGGAGTCACAGTGGTCTGTCAGGGAGGGTTGCGGGGTGCCATGAGGCAGCCTCATACAAGTCCCCACTGCAAGTCCCCGCCTCTCTCATTGAGAGGTCAGCAATTCAGCCCCCTTGGCATGCTGTGCATGCAGCCTGGTGATTGGTCAAGCCTTTGGTCGTTTTGGATGTTACGGACACTGGCTCTTTATATTATACTAGAGGCCTGGTGCACAAAAATTTGTGCACTCGGGAGGGGGGTCCCTCAGCCTGGCCTGTGCCCTCTCGCAGTCTGGGACCCCTCGGGGGATG